AAAAAAAGCTTTATAATATAAGTAATAATTATTATAATATAACTAATAATAATTTTTTTATAACAAACTTTTATGATTTTTTATTTATTAAAATTTTTAATTTGCAAAATATATTAATAAATTATAATTATAATTAACTTTACAAATACAGTATATAAAATCTAGTATATTAAAAATTACAGAAAAATATAATATATAAAAAGATGATTTTAATACTTACCAAAGGTAAAATTTACTAGTTATATGATTAGCCAATCAAATTGCAGGATCTTTATATAATAAAAATAAATAATTTTTAGAAAAAACAAAAAATATTAATACTTTAAATTTTTATTATGAAACCTTGCTTCATATTATTAAATAAAAGTTTTCAATACTTAATTTTATATATAATAAATACTTTAACCCTAATATAGTCTTCGCTCTAACTCTAAAGTTAATAAAAAAAAATATTTTTTATTAGGAAATAATTAAACAAAACTATATACTACAGTCCGGAAATATACTATATTAGGAAATCAGGTCAAATCAAGTTCTAGAATGATCGATATGAAGATCTGTAAATTTTATTAGCTCTTGTATTTTTTTTTTCGCTTAACTTTACCATGGGTTTCTACAGTATTCTGTATATTCACCAATTATTAAACAATATAAGGATAATTATTACAAGGCTCATAGTTCTAATTATCCCAATTAATTCCTTCCAATCAACAGTCTACAAAAAGATAAATGAGATGCAAAGTTAAGGATTTAACCTATATATTTTTGAATTGAAAGTTAATTAGACAGTAGTTTAAACGCTCTTTTGCAATATTTTATTTTTTTTAAAACTTAGAGAATACAAGTTATTGGATCAAGATCTTGAAGATCTTGAGAAACAAAAAGATCACAAAAATAATATTATTAGCATTTCAGTATAATCAAATATTAAATTAAATATATTACTATTTTATTGTAGGTTATTTTAGTTAAAAAGAATAAATATAATCATTTAAATATTATCAAAAATTGCAGAGATGGTAATACTGATGAAATATTCGGTCTTGGCTCTTAATATCAAAATGGAATTGAAGCTAATAGAGATAAATATAAGATATTTGATTTTACCAAATATATATAGAGATAAGTATTGTTGACGAAATATATAAGTAATGCCAAGAAAAAACCAGGCTTCGATTATATAAATTTTATATATTCGAAGTTTGGTTTTTCTTTAACATCACCAATATTATATTAGTTATTATTATTGTACTGTGTGAAAAAAAGGTATTTATTAATTTGAAAAATCTGCTATAATAGGAACACAATATGAAAGATTTTAAGGCTAGATATTGTTATTGAAATAAAATACTAAAATATAGAGAATAGACTAGGAAAACCTCTACTTGAAAACAAGTTTCAAACAGTGATTTTCCTAGTCTATTCCTTGTATAGAGCATTTATATATAATTGCAAAGCTATATTTTGATATCAGTTTATTGTATTTTACTAAAATATTGAAATAAATATTTATATATATTAAAAAATAGAAGTTGAACTTTTTTCAAAAGATCAGACTCGCAATTTATAAACTTGTATGTGAGTTGACTTACTGTAAAATATATGTATTCTTAAGTTTTTATTACAAATAAGTTCAGTTGTATAACCATATATAAGACTTGATTCTTTATATTTTACTAATTTCAAACCCATAATATATTCAGGTCCAGTATATGGTCAAGAGTTTATATTAAAAAAAAACTTTTAAAGAGAATATTTTGCATTTATAACATAATAATTTAATTGATATAAACTTTATTATTCACGCTCAAGTATTATATATATGAATGTTCTGTGGATCTATAGTATATTCGAATTAAAATTATAGAATCATCCGATCATCGATCATTACTAAATAATGTATGATCTTTGATACCCAAATATAGAATATTCCTGGACTATACTAGTTAATTTTACCTATAGTTATTTCTAAATAAATTTTATATAAAAAAAATTTTTTTATAAAAATTTTATTATTAATTTAAAAAAATACCACTAAACAATTTTTAAATACTTATTAAATTTTTGTATATAAAAAAAATTAAACTTTTAATTTTTTTAAATTTTTAATATATTTTTTAAAATATATTAAATTTAGTACAAAAGGGTAAATTCAATCTATTAATATATAAAATTTTAAATTTCACAATTAGCTTTTATAACCCGGTTGGGTTATGAAAACCAATTTATAAAGTTTATATGACCTTATTATATTATAAAAAACTTTATAATAATTTAAATAAAATTAATAGTAAAACTACTAAAATAAAAAATTTTTTAAATTGTTTATATACCAAAATAGATATTTTTAATATATAGTAAAACATTTTATATAAATTTTATACTGTATATAAAAAGTAAATTAGTAAAAATGAAACAATTTATTTTTAAAATTTTAAATTAAAAATATATTAAAAATTATTTAATTTTTTAGTATATAGTAGTAAATTAAGTCTAAAGTTGGATTATATATTGTATACAATATACAGTATTCATATATATATATTATAAGTATGTATTTAAAATAACCATTAAATTGTAAACTCGTTTTGCGCAGTAATGTTTGAGCGAAGTTGTTGCAACAATTTATAAAATACAAAAATATACAGTATATGTTAAACAAACGTCGATCCTATTTTACAACTATAAATCGCAACATAAAAGACCTTCCTGATAGTACTGATAGTAGAACCGCTTATACCAGATTTATATCAGGATTAAGACACCAGGTTTATTAACTGGAAATTTATATATAACAAGCAGAGATCCAGTTACTACGTATACCCACTTTACATGCAATATATCCTATCTGGTATAATATATGATATGTATTCTCTCAATTAAATGCGGAGCGAAAAGAAAAATCTGGGGAAACATTGAATATACGTACAAGGTTAAATACTATGAGAACCCAGAAACTAACTATTAATAACAAAACTTTAATATGCGCACTTTACTAATTTTAATTAACTCAATATTTTATTAAACCATAATATATATCTGAATTGTACATTCTAAATTAATATAGCGATGGTGTTTTTCAACCATATCAACAGGTTTTATTTCATATAATGAAATTTTAATATATACATTTAGTTAGATTATTAATAAATTAATCAATTAATAAATATTAAGGCAATCATTTAATACTGTATTAACATTATTGTTATACGTAGTGATATCAAACTTTTATTTAGTATAATATTATATATATATAGACATATATATATAAGCGGGTGCAAAGTTTAATACGTATATGTAAAGCAATTTAATCAAGCTTGATCTATCAATTACTTATTATATCAGACTTAAAAGTGCAAATTTTGAAATGATCAGTTCCATCATACATCCGATTAAACGAGATTTCGTGATTATTGTACGTACCGTAGCAGCTTGGCAAAAATGAAATTTGGGCGCAATTTTTCAGTTCGTTTAGGGTTTATAATATATTACAGGTTTTTAGGGTCAGAATTATTGTTAACTAAAAGAAATGTATAAGTGAACCAATGAAAATTTCAAAATTAGATCCGGACAGTTCCAGCTTTTAGCTTTCACAAAACATTACCGTTATTTTAAACTTTAACATAAACCTATGATAAATTCGTACGTATCACGAAATTAGGTACGTACGTACAGATAAATTAACTTTTAAGTAAAATGTACACAATTTGAACCACTATTTGTTTATTTAAAAAAAAATCGATAAACCTTTAAGAGATCCAATAATTATCAATGCAATCATTTAACTTTCATCAAAATTCATCAAGTTTCTCTAATGGATAGATTTCTATATGCTTCCGTAAACTACCATTAGTAATCTTACATCTTTAACAGATTTACACACTAGCTCATAATGGTCCTCAATTAGTTCTAGTCTAGAGTATTATTATTGACTTTTTTAAAGCAATTAAATAGAATTTTTAACATGGAGTTTTCCATCTTCTTTTAACAGGTTTACGCACCAGCTCATTATGATCCCTCAATTAGTTCTAGAGTATTATTATTAACATTTTTAAAGTAACTACCGGTAGATAGAATTTTTAACATCATGGAGTTTCCATCTTCTTTTAGGTTATGCCAATTGAGGGTTAATCAAACTTTACTCATTGTCTGATTTCCGAAAAATAATTTTTTTTGTCTACTAAAGAAGGGTTAAACTACAGTATTTGTCAAAGTGTAATTGCATAATAAGTTACCGACGTGCTAAAACAGAAAAAAAAAAAGGATAAATGCTTAATCCGATTGGCTCGAACCCTTTTGTCCGGAACGCCTCTGGTACATTTGGCAAGTAAACTATTCATGTGATGATACAAAGCTTATGCACAAATCACACTGACTTTTGCTTATCAGACGGTTACGTAGTACGCAAGTACAACTAATACGTATATCTTTTGTACACTGTTTACGCTTCTTTCTAAAAAAGAACTGATACAACGACATCTTTATTAAATATATTATCTGCTTTTCTTTCCTTTAATCCCTTTAATATTTTATTTATTTGCTTTTTTTTCTTTTTGTTTGTATATTTTATTATTATTTTTTTGTATATCGCTTGTTTAAAATCAAATTTTTCCGTTACAAAAAGTTAATACCTTTGAAAAAAAGAAGAGTAGGTTTTTTTTTTTAATATTAATTACCTTTCTTTGGGAGAAATTCATTAGAAAAAATAACATAATAATTTGTATAAATTTAGGTAGTTTATTAATAAAATAATAAACCAACTTATATATTACCACCAAAAGAAGAGTCAGCAAAATTATTTAATTCTAACCTTCTAACCATGAAGTGTTAGACTTTACACTTATTAATTATTCCCTTGCTAATAAGCATAGGCACTTTAATATTACCATTGACTGGTCTAATCTACACCTCTACGTTCATTTTATTCCTTTTCCATTTTTGTATTTATAATCTTTTTCCCTTAAACCTCGTTACAATCAAACCACTCTAAACAGAACAAAATGGCAGATAGTATAGATAATAACGAAAATCAAGCCTCCGTTACTCCGAGGCCTAGGTTAAATACCGAAGGTCGTGGCTCTGACACGACATCGCGACGATCTTTTTATAGTAACAATGCATCAACTGCTGCATTAAAAAAACAACTACAAGATCAATTGAACGAAAATGCTACTCAAATGCAGGCGACTACTGACTTAGCTGCTGCTCTTGCAAAACAACAATCAGAATTAGAAAATCAAATAAAGGCATTAGACAAGACTGAAGGTAATGAAGTCCCTCAAGAACTAAAAAATAAATTGGCTGACCTTGAAAAGGAAGCTGGTGCTATATATGAAAGTTCCGCAAAGGTTTTTCTGGGTTCAAAAAGTCAACCAGACGTAAGTTTTATTATTATTAATAATTACATTGAATTCGAATTATATCACTTCAGATCACAACTTTGTAAAGATTAGTTCATATGGTTAAATAGTAATAACATAGAGAATTCGTCAACTTTTAAAATTTTTTATTAAATTAATTAAATTAATTATGATTCTTTATTATTATTTATTAATTATTGTTTATTAATTATTGTTTATTAATTATTGTTTATTAGGTTGGACTAGATTCACCAAATGCTTCAGCTCCATCGACACCTGCTATAGAAACACCAACTCCAACTATGGGAAAATCCTCCTCAAGGCGTGATCGTAACGCTGCGAAAGGTCGTCAAAAAGATATAGAATTTGCTACTGAAATAGGTCAAGGTTTATTACAAGAAGTTAGACGTCTACAAGCTTTATTACATGAAAAAGAGGAAAGAATAAAAGAATTAGAGGCTGAAAAAGCTGAATTAGAACGTACTATTGAACAACTTAATAAAAACTTACGAGCAAATCAAGAATCTAAAGGTAATTTAATACTGAATAACTTAACCTTTTTTAAAATATTAATTTGTTTTTTTAATATTAATAAAAATTATTATTATTATTATTATTCTTTTTATTAGAAAAATTAAATGAACAAGTTTGGGCTCTGGAATTAGCGAAGCAAGATCTTAGTGCTCAATTAGATGACTTACATCAACAACTTACTAAAGCTCGTAGTGATTATACAAAGATTGAAAAAGCTCTTTCAACCGCAACTGATGTTATAGAACAACTTAAAGATAAAGAAGAAAAATTAACTGCAAGTCTTGAGGATTTAAAAACTCGACATGAAAAAGATATGGCAAATAATCGAAGGCATATTGCCGCTCTTAATAGAGAAAAAGCTGATTTATTAAAAATTGTCGATGATTTAAAAACTCAATTAGATTCTTTTGTAAATGCCTCAAAAATTAAGAAAAATACTAAGGATACCAGTACCGGTTCAAATAATATATTATATGATGAAGATGGTCAAATTATTACTAATGGTGATACTGATTCAAGCATTCCTCAGGATTCTATTAATAAAAATTTAAATACTCAAGAAACTATGAAGGCTCTTGGTGTTGCAAACCGTATGATCGGTAGCCTTCGTGCTAATCTCCAAAAGGAAAAGAGTGAAAAATATGAATTAAAGAATTTATTATCTGTTAGAGAAGAACAAATTGAAAATATGCGTGCTGAACTTTATGATGTCTTACCTGATCAATCAAAACAAGGAAACCTTGAACCAGGTGACAGTTCCATTATCTCTGAAAATTATTTACTTTCTAATGATCTTGATAAGATAAATAAAGACAATCGTCCTTCGTCCGGTTGGTTCAATAAGGCTAAAAACAGGGGAATTTCTAGACAATCATCCTTATCATCTGCATCAAAAGTATTAGATGATGATATTGTTAAAGATTATGATGATGATGATGATGATGATGAAAGAAAAGAAGTTAAAGCAGCACGAAGAGATGAAGCCTTAAGAAAATTAGATAATAAATCTACATCTCGAGAAATAGTGAGTGAACCTGAAACTTTTGATGATAGTAGACCAAGTAATTCCGATTTAAGGTATAAAGATTCGGTTGTTCGTAGACGTGTTACTGAGTATGAAGATATTAGTAAACAAACTGTTGACGATGAAGGCATTATTCGTAGAAGCTCTCAAAGTTCAAAAGCTGGTGAACCTAGATCTCCCTCTGATGAAAAAAGACGTACCAATTCTGGAAATTATCCCATAGTAGAAGGAGTAGAAGGTGTAGAAGGTGTAGAAGGAATAGAAGGTGATGAAAAAAGACGTACCAAGTCTGGAAATTATCCCATAGTAGAAGGAGTTGA